GCCCCCCCACCGGTGGCCCTGAGGGTCGCCGGTTCTTCGGCCCGTTGTGCCCGGGGTGGGGGGGGTCTTTGTGCTCACCGCGGTGGGGCGGGGGCACCGACCCCCGGCCGGAGCGGGGCGCGCTGGAAAAAAGGCGGCGTTCGGGAGGGCGGCTCTTCCCCGCTGTGTGTGAGGCTGAACGCTGTCGGGCTGGGAGGAGAAGGCACCCCCTAAAAATCCCCCGCTCGCAGTCTGACGGCTTGGTTTTGTTTTAATTAGGTCCGTGGTCAAAGGCTTTGAAGTAACCATGGATAAAAGAGGAGGCGTAGCAGAAGCTGAAAACGGTGATGCTTTCCTGGAGTTGAACAGAATTCCCACAAAATACCCCCATCGTTACACAAAGGTTAGTGCTCTCCCCTTTCCTCCTAAAGTTGGGGCTGTTGGTCACAGGAGCGGGGTGGGAGGTGGAGGCTTCTGTCAGAGGGAGGCTGGAATTAGGATTTGGATTTGCAAGGTGCTGCACGGTGAGCAGCTCGTTCAAAGTGATGTAGCTGAGCAATCCTGTCCTCGATACACTCTTGATTCCCACCACGTTATTTTAATAGCAGAGCACCTCGCAGCATGTGATGGAGAGGTTATGGTGGAGACTGAAGTATGTTGTTCTACCAGCTCTCTCAAGCGCTTGTGCTTCATAGTTTTAGTTCCAATTTCAGCAATGCTCCTTTAAGAAGTTGCCCAAAATGTTTCCTTGTAGTAGATGCCACTTCCTTGGAACATACAGCACACCAGATCTTATCAGGAGCTTAATGTGTTTACTAAGATGCCTTTCCTAAATTTAGAATTCCTCACTTTTGACTGCTGGAAGCCTGAAACACTTATGAATCCAACCAATGCTTGGTGTTAAAAATTTAACACAGGTGTTTTTGTTTAGCTATGCTATCTAAATATATGCATGAGTGGAAGACCACTAACTAAACAACTTCCAAATAAAGATTCTTTCAATACTAAGTGAGTTTGATACGTTGTGGGGCTTAAGGTTCAAATCTTGTTTGGGATCTTGGTGTCACTGTTGAAATGTGCTTTTTGAAAAAAGCCTTTAATGGTGGTTGATTTTCTTGTTGCTGAAAGCTGTGGGAACAGGTGGTCACTGCTTTGTGGAAATCTATTAAGATACTTTGCAACAAATGGCCTGAAGTGAGGAACAGAGGGAGACAGTGTGCTGTTGCTGACTCTGTTATCTTACTTGAGGAATTTTGAACTGTTAGCTTCTGAGTAGGTTGTTTTTTAAAAGAAAAAAAAAATTATCACTGTGGCCGTGTTCTGTTGAGATAGTGGGGACAGCTTATTTCAACTAGACATCAACAATAAACCAAGTACTTCAGAACTGGCAGAACTTACATGGGAATAATATGGGTTTATAATTATTTTCTTAGAAAAGATGTACGCTTAACCTTCTAAGGTGCAAAGTATACTATTGTTCAGACCTTGTTATTCAGTTAACTATAAATTGAAGGAGGGGACCTTTCACTGCTGGAAAAGCAGTATCTAAATTTGCTCAGTCTGGCCCAGCTCCTCTCAAGAACAGTAACTGAGTGCAGCTTCAAATTCTGGTTGCTTTTTGGGGCAGTATTCAGCTAGTGCTGGTGGGAGCTGGATGCTGAAACTGAGGCATTTGTAGCTTCAGCTTTCTTAATTCAGTGCCTGTAGTTTCTGATCAGGATAAAGTTGCAGAACTAGTGCCAGAAGGCATCCAGTCTTGTTTATCTGTTGGTTTCCAAGGAGTCTAAAGTCAAGAAACACCAGAAATCAATCTGCATTAAAATACCTTGCATCATATATTTGGTGGTTGTTGTTTTTTAAAAGTAGTGTCTGAAATACAGCTGGTGTAAGGTGCTCATGTAATCAGTACTGTAAGCCATTTTCACATGATCCAATTTCCTACTAATTAGGGATGGGAGGAGCACTGTTTCAGGACATGTGCTGCTGATTTGGACAGGGGACTCGTTTTCTTCAACAGTTTATATTCATCTACTACCAGTAGGAGAACAATTGGCTCATACTATGAATCCTGCTAAGCTATTTGAATGAAACTGTTTAATGGCAGCTAAACACACTTTCCCCCCATCCACTGAAAAGTACTAGTGTGTGAATTTAAAACAAAAAGAAAAACAAACCCCAAAACACACTCTGGAAGTGGCAGTGTTTGTAACACTCTCATCAGAAAGGAGATTTAGTCCAAGCTGTGTCTTTTCTAGTTTGTTGGAAGCTGTTGCTCCAAGGGTGCATGGCTAATGAGCAAAAGCCAAGAAACAATTCAAATTTTCCTCACTTCAGTGGAAGAATTGCAATAGGATCTGACTGAGAGTCTATGGACTCCCTCTCGTGGCCAGCAAAACAGTCGATTTCAAGTCTGGTGATGGACAGTGCTGTTAATGCTTGTGATATCTGCATCAGGCTATGATAGTGTTACAGCACTGATGTTCCTCATAGATCAAGGTTTATTTTGGGAAGCTGTGGGCAGAGAGGCCAGTCTCCCTCCCTTTAATGGAACTCTTTTTGATGCTTGGATATGTATGTGTGTGTGCATATTAAGGTTTTGTCCGGCTACCAAGCTGCCATCTGGAAACTTTCAAGTATCAAGCTCATGTAGCTAATGAACTGATTTTAATCACATGGGGATAATGATGTAAAAGCTCTAGAAGCTATTGTATTCTTGGGTGGGGGGGGGAAGGTAAAGAGATTTCCTCCTTCAGTTGGGCTGATGTGTGGTGTCTGCTGTTGGGTTTTCTTTGTCCTTCCAGCTGCCTGCTGATTTCTGTACAGTTCTGAATCAGTTCAGTACAGTTCAGAGTGAGGCAGATTGAAGAAAGGTAATCTAGGGAGAATGATTAAGTTTAATTAGAAATGTGCATCTTATCTGCAGCCAGATTAATGATGATTCAAAGCACTGATGATTGCTCCATTACTAATGCTGTTTAAATGTAGCAAACTGCAGTGAGAGGAGATTTATTGTTAGTCTGCCTCAAATGAGTAACTGCAGAGAAATGTGCAATAGTGAACTAAAGACTGTTTGAAAGCTGATAGAAAGTGGGAAAACTGAAGTAATCAATCAGCATTGATCTGGTACTGGGTGGAGTGGATAACTGTATGACAGACATCAGATAGCTTGGAATTGGTGGTGGTCAGAAATGGCAAGCTTGTCTGGAATGTCCAGGTCTACATTAGTAACTGGTAATGTTAGGGATGTGGTAATGCTTTTTTAACCTGCTGAATCTTATGTAGCATTAAAACAGAGCAACTTTGATTCCACCTTGAGAACTTACTAGCTCTAGTATCAATGAGGCCTGTCTTGCTTATAAGTTGAACTGTCCAGGGAAGGGAATAGGTAAACATGTGTGATGTGAGCAGCCTTTCAAGTGTTAATGAAGATGGAACCTGACCTAGTAAGGCTTAGGGCTTCAAATAAGTGTTTGCTTCATGGCCACTGGTAGAAGAACTGAAAAATAAACTTGCTGTCCAGTATCAATTCACTGCAGTATTTCACAGGAAATGAAACAACATATTGGGAAACTTGGATTGCCAAATTAAAACGAAATTGAACAGACAGTCTGGAATACATATTTTGGGTCACTTGAATCTTGTCTGGGTGACAGTTGGAACTAATGTTTTGCTTTTTCTAGGAGGAACTCCTGGATATTAAAGAGCGTCCATACTCTAAGCAAAGACCTTCTTGTCTTTCTGAAAAATATGACAGGTATTTTCTTGATTATACAAAATCTATATTTATTTCTTTCAAAATAAAAGTTTAAATTGCAAAAATTCTTAGCTAAGAAGTGCGCTTATGTTAATGCAAGATGTAAGTGTCCCAGAGTTTAGTGTATGACAGTGTTTTCAGAAGTGCCCTAATCTCCTAGGAAAGGCTTAGTGCTCCAG